ACTTTATCTTACAAAAAAAAGAAAGAAAGAAAAGAAAAAGCAGTTTCTTATAGTGAAGCAAGAACCTGCTACTGAAGACATAAAGCAGTGTCAGATTACACAGCTTACCTTCCTCTGCCAACAGGCAAAAAGAGACAAAATGTGTACTGGTTATTATCACTCAGCAGCATAGCACTATACTGAAATACATACTGTGTGCTTATTAGTACTCTCACTATTTACAGATACTATTAATTATCCCAGCAGCACCAAGGATCAAAACATCCCTCCTTAGCCTAGCTCTCACCACAAGGCCAAAGAACATAACCTTCAAGTACTATCACCTTTTGTGAACTCTAATCACTTAAGAACTGTTAGAAACAAAAACAGGCTCTGTTATAAAATCCAACCTCTTTCTTACACAAACTTACAAAAACATCTTTTCTTCCCTGCCTGCCTAGCCTAACAGCAGCAGCAGCCCAACAGTGACACCTGCTGGACAAAGAGAAGCAACAGCTGGCTCATCAGCTAGAGACTAATAGTAAAACCCAGCAGGTGCTGCTATACCTGTTTGCCTTGAAGACTGATACCTGATTGCAGCCATTCAATCCAGGAGGAAATGTTGGCCCTTCTTTAACATGTGTGTACTTACAATGTTTTACAGTACACCTCATTTTTGAGTGAGCTGTCAGCCTTCGTGGTATACCATATCCTAGCTCATTTAAAAGTGGCACCAAGGGACAATGGCTCATCCCTGTAATCCTAGTACTTCAAGAAGCTGAGGCAGTGGCCGGGCATGGTGGCTCATGCCTGTAACCTTAGTACTCTGGGAGGCCAAGGCAGGAAGACTGCCTGAGCTCAGGAGTTTCAGAACAGCCTGATCAAGAGCAAGACCCTGTCCTTACTAAAAATAGAAAAACTAGCAGGGTGTTATGGTGGGCACTGTTGCTTCTCGTTTAAGCATACGATATGGTAGCCAACAATCAAATGTAGCTATTTACATTTAAATTAAACTTTTAAAAATTAAATTTAGTCCTTCAGATCATACTGGCAGCAAGTGCCCAACAGCTACATGTGGCTAGGATCTACCATACAGGATTGCATAGATACAGAACATTTATATCAGCATAAAAAGTTTTTCTGGACATCATTACTCTAGAGTCTAGAGAAACACAAAAGTATTTATTTACAAAACAAAATTATTAGATGTCTAGGTGTGGGCAATGGATGGGGCATAGAGATGAAAAGACAGCTGGTCAGGCTCAGCGCTGGCCACATACACCAGAGCTGGCAGGTTCAAATCCATCCCGGGCCTGACGCAGGTGGATTGCCCGAGCTCAGAGGTCAAACAATGATAACTGCAACCAAAAAATAGCCGGGTGTTGTGGCGGGCGACTATGGTGCCAGCTACATGGAAGGTTGAGGCAAGAGAATCAATTAAGCCCAGGAGTTTGAGTTTGCTGTGAGCTATGGATGCCACAGCACTCTACCCAGGGGGACAGCTTGAGGCTCTGTCTCACAAAAAAAAAAAAAAGACAGCTGACCAAGCATGGATAACTTGTGAAGTCAGGTGATAGGTATATAGAAGTTCATTTATTATACTTTTCTCTTCATTTTTATAATATGTTTAATTAAAAGAAAAATAAAGAAGAATAGTTCACTTAAAAATGAAACTATATTAAAGCGCATAATATAGTTTATATTGTCCAAGTGAAAAGCACTTGGACAAATCTTTAGTCATGGAGAAAAGAGTTCAAATTCTCACTTGTAGACCTACTGTGAGACCTTTAACAAGAAACTCTGACTTCTTAAGAGCTCCACTTTCGGCTCGGCGCCTATAGCTCAACCGGCTAAGGCGCCAGCCACGTACACCTAAGGTGGCGGGTTCGAATCCCCAGCCTGGACCCGCCAAACAAC